TGTGGGGGTTGGGGGGGTCAACATATATTGCAGCCACACAGCAATAAGTTCATAGATGTGGCAACCATGAATGTTTCACCTCCATAAATATTTGACCGTTTGCTATGAATCATTTAAAGAAGAGGCCCACTCTGTTGTTTTGCAGGACAATATGTGCAAGCAGTATACTTTTTTTTACGGCCCCACCACACTTCTTTCCATACCTTGCCTCTCGCTCTCCTTCTCCTTCTCCTTCTCCTTCTCCTTCTCCCTCTCCCTCTCCCTCCCTCCCTCTCTCCCTCTCTCTCTCTCTCCCCCTCTCTTCCGTCAGTGTTTGACATGCTGCTCAGTGGCCCTGAAATGCAGCACATTATGCCGCTTTGTTGCTCATCGTTCACATTCCACGCCGCATCTGAACGCGATGTAAACGATATGATGATATGCCCTCGAAGGCAACATTAGCTTCATGATCGTTAACGCCTTCGTCGATTGCAAGGGTCGAATTTGAGAGACACTCTTTTTCTATCATGGACCAATTTGAATAAATAAATAAAGAAAGGGATGAATATTCTCGCAGCGATCGGGATTAACATGGTCATAAAATCAAAGTGAAGATAGCCCGTGTTGTTTTTTTGTAAGTGAAATGGAGCATTTGGACACAATGTCTGATGAGTGGTGAGAGTCAACTGTGTAGATCGGGAGTCAACTGGAGGTCGTCGGTGCTTTCCAGCTGAGTGGCGACACATATGTGGGGAGCATCACTAGAATATGCATGACTGCTATTCGACAGAACTGCTCATAGTTTCGCTCTCTGTCAAATGAGGACTTTGATTTTGTCAATCCCTTAGAGATCCATTTTGATGAAATAGCAACAATGTCCTGGGGCATGCAGAGTAATCCAAAAGTGTCGGATAGAATAAACATTGCTTATATTTTATTATTACACACTGAAAAGGAAATAGTACAACGATGAGGTTTAGGTCAGAATCTTTTTAGAGAAGAAAAAATAATATAATGCCAAGACAAAAAGTCATCATTTTGAGATTAGAGTGGCAATGTCTGTTACGTCCAGAATTTTGTATCGGTTCAAGATTGAAGTCGTAGTACTAAAAGGCTAAATTCACGTAGTTTCAAGATTACAAGACATTTCAATATTTCCAAGATTAAAATTGAAATATTACAAGAATACAGGTCTAAATAGTTTCAAGAGGAAAGGTCATGGACAGCATTTTTTCCAGTCTTGATATTTTTGATAACGTTTTTTTAGATTCCAGTCGTCATATTACAAGAATGAACAAACGTACAGTATATATTTTTTTAGATTAAAATAGATTAGAATAAAGTTGTTAAAAACAAAATGTATGTTTTGAAATGTCAGTCGAACTCATAATAGTTGGACAATAGTAATATATTTTCAAAACTGTTTTTTTTTTATTACATCAGAATATTATGACAGATTTGTACAAAGTCATAATATTAGAATAAAGATTTTGATTTTCAAGATTAAAGTGAAAATATTGAACAATGATAATAATACTCCATATAATAACATCTGAAAATCCATCTGTAATACAAAGTATTAGAATGACTAAAGTTGTATATTTTCCAGTTTAAAGTCATAACGAGGCTGAAGTTTTCATGGTTTTAAACATGTCATATTTTAGACAAAAGTAGAGTACTTTCAAGAAAAAGTTCAATACTTTAGAGATGAAAGTAGTACTATTATTTTAGAAATAGCAATGATAACACAACAAAACAAAACGTGCTCGGTGGGAGACAACAGCAGTGTTTCCGCCATGTTTGATCCTACTGTACCATGTTACAGATGAAGGAGTTGTGACGTCACAACAGGTTTCCCTTCGTACAGAAACGTCGTCCAAATAGTCTGCGCCTGCAATGACCACAAAAACACGAAGCGTCACTCGCAAATGTTATTTCGAAAACAGTTTGTGTTAAGCGAAGAAAAACAATGAGCTTTGTGACGCTGTGAGATGTTTAAAAGGTAATGTTGCTCCTGTGTAATTACTCTGAACGAAGAGACACGCTGTTAGTGGGTTTTTAATGGGTCAAGCCCAAGAGCAAGAGCGTTTTCGTTGTCCTGCTGCGACCTCGCGTGTCCAAAGGCTGCAATAACATCTCAAGAATACTGTCATACTGAGCAGGTTACATCAAACGCATCATTTCCAGTAGGGGAGATTGTATTTTTATGAATGCATAAACAATAATCTAGTTTGTCGAACTAACTTCTGTTGGATGCATGCAATTTTCGGATAAATTTCACCCCAAAAAAAAAAAAATCCTAATTCAAAACCTCAGTTCAGCGACGACAAAGACGACAAATGATGATGTAGTTTCAGCAACACACTTATCATGCTTGGATATTTTTTTACGTTGATTACGAGAATTCTGCTTTGGACAAACACAATGCTATGATTTAATGAAGGTCAGTGCTTCTGTGATTTCTCGGGCCTGCTCAACCCCCGTTATAAATCACATTCACATATGTGTGTAACTCTCACAAACACTTCATCTTATAACCAGCAGTCGTCATGCATGCCTGACTCAAGACATGTGCGACCACGGCGTCTGTTAAGTGCCTCTGGCCAAATATTCCACAGTTGCCGCTCCCAAACGCCTGCCAACCAAACTAGACTTCTGCCAGGATCTTCTGGTGGGCGCAACAGATGTAAAGCAGCAGAAGGCGGAGGCTTGTACTGTGCAGCAGAGGTGGAAAAACGGCCGGTGGTTGGCACAGGTGGAAGCGTGAGACTTGGGAGTCTGAAACTGCAGGACACGCAATCGAAAATACTGCAGTAGTCTTTTATGGTTTAGATTGGTTGCCGGATGCAACCACTGCAGGTTTCTGTCAGAATATTTCAGTGGGACTCTAATCACACCGATGGAGATTCTGGAGTTGTAAATCCATTTTGGTTTATAGAAGAGAATCAACTGTTCCAAAGGATACGCATACACTTTGAATTGCATTTTCATGTAACCAAAGTGCTATTTAAATAACATTTGACTCATTGATTGATGTTTCAAGCTTCAGCCGGAGGTATAGCTGACAGTGGCTTGTGGTTGGGGCTGTAAGCCACCATCCATAACTAAATGCATACTGGTTTGGCGGCTATGATAATTAAACGAATAGAATAAAATGTATTCAATCAAGCATGAGAAAAAAAAATTAAAAACAGCTTGTAAATAAAAGGCTGCATTTCTGGTGATTTAACACAGAGGGGCGGTAGTGAATTTCCGGCCTAGTGCGTCCGCTTTTAGAGTACCACAGAAGGTTTGCTCGCTGACGTCACTCACGCCAACTTGAAGTTAGTTAGCACAAAGTAGCTGGCGGAGGGGTTGGAGAGTATCACGAGCGTGGTGCCTTTTGTTGCTTTTCCCTTTAAGGTAACTACATTGGAGCTGCCTACGACAGTGTGCGCGACTTTATAGTTCGTGCGTGGGAGACAAAATGTGCTCTTGAAGTGACACACGTCACGTTGGGTAACACGTTACGAGAGTACTGCGCTAATAAGGCTAACTGAGCTACATGTGCTAACTAGGCTAACGCGTCGCTGACGTCAAACAGCTTCATGAGCAAAAGTGGCACTTGTCCGGCCTCACGTCGCATAACTTACCAGTTGAACATCCATCCATCTTCTAATCAACTTGTCACGAGGGCTGCGGGTGTGCTGGAACCTATCCCAGCTGTCATCGGGCAGTAGGCGGGGGACACCTTGAAGTAGTTGCCAGCCAATCGCAGGGCACACATCGACGAACAACCATGAGCACTCACTGTCACGCCGAGTGACAATTTAGTGTTCCGTTAATGTGGGAGGAAACCGGAGTACCTGGAAAACCGAGAAAACCCCCCGCAGGCACGGGGAGAGCATGCAAACTCCACACAGGAAGGCCGTAGCCGGAATCGAAC